CCTGCTGCTTGGGGCATTTCAATATTATCGTGATAAAAGGCTCAATGTGAAAATTAAAGTGAATACAATGTGCAGGCTTTCATGATGTGCTGCTATATTCACTGCAAAAAGTGAAGCTAAAATACGGCAAATGTGTCTTAACTGTGCAGTAATTAAGGTAAAAATCTCTCAATTCAAGCAATAATTACCTCATATTTTATTATTTTTTGCAGTGTTGGTGTTTAGTTGGGGTCACAAAGGCCAGATGAGTCAAATTTTAGATCAATATTCTGACAATAATCTACATGTGTGATCAGTTATAATGATACAAACATATAAATAAATAATTCTTAATATCTTAATTCAGCGCTAAATTACAATATTTCTTTTATAGCTAGCAAGCCAAATGTCAATGTTACTTATCCATTCTATTATGTATACGAACATGTCTGTATTGCCTTTCTTGTGGGTGGATATTGCTTTTTCATAGACATGATCCATAACTTGGCCCAGTTCCATGAAATATAGATGTAATATCATGATAAACAACATGCAATAACCATGGACATTTTAATAGCCTCTTCAAACACTGTATATGTGGTATTTATGAATGAACAGCCACTATGTAAATTAAACTCCAAATGCTTAATATTCCTCAAGATAAATTATTCAATGCAGCACTGGTTTGGAGAGGAGAACATACAGAGGTCTGTGTGCCTCTGGGTCGGGGGCCTGCGTCACAGTTGGCCTGCGACAGAAGGGACATATTATGGATCTGCCGTTTGGTCTTGAATAACTCTCAACTTTTTCACCACAAGAAAACATGTATTAATATCGTGTTGCCATCTCTCGGCGGCTGATTAAGTCCAGAGACATGTCAGCGTCATCAGTCTCATTTTGACACTTGACAAGTTTCAAAAGCAGTTTTCAGCAAAGAGACAAATCAGCTTCCATAAGACTTAGAGTTTTAATGCACTGAAGCATTTTGTGGTCTGCATTGGCTTTTCTTTGAATAAAAACAGTCAATATCTCAAAAATCTGTCAATGCACATTTTTACTTGATCATCCTTGAACTAAGTCGTACATACAGCTTGAAATGAAAATAAAAATGCTTGTTTATTGTTCAATTTATGTCTTGAAAGAAGATACAGATTCTTCTACATCACTCATTTATTGTAAAAAAAAAATCGAATACAGCTTAAAAACAAGGTCAGAGGAGTTAGGGAAGCAGCAATGGCCTCTTCGTTGTAGAATCTAAATGAATGAAAGTGTAAAAAGTCAAGCCGATGTATATATATTTTCTCTTGTTACGTTGCCTGTAATATCCAGGTCAAAATTGAGTGTTTTAAAGGCATATTTTACGGATAACGAACAACACGGAGACATATTTCAAGGATCACTTTCCTTCATCAATCCATACGCATAATAAAATCTGACCTGAGAGCTGATAGCAGGAGGATTTAAGCCTTTCCACAGATAACCACAACACTTTCCCACAGCCTCTGCTCCATCCGCGTGAGCTTTGACCTCTCCGTGTACGCGAGGCATCCCTCTCTGCACAAATAAGGCTATAATTATGAATAAAACTGGACTTATGCACCGTTTACCTCTCTCACCCTTCAAATATGCAATGTGGAATTTGCACACATTTGCTCCACATTATCCCCTTACAAACAGCAGTAATCCGCGCTCTCTGCCTGATAGTATAATTGCCTCACCTCGGGGAACGATTCATAACGATTGTTTTGGTTTTACGGCCGTGAAGCGATGTGCCAGTTTTGAGCCTGATTGGAGGCTGTAGAGTTTGCAAACATCAGAAAGAAAATGAGACGAGGAGGAGGAGAGAGGTTATTGAAATCTGATTCCCGATTTGGGATAATTTAATCTAAAGAATCAAAACACTCCTTTCATTTGTATATACAGACAAATTGTATGTGAAGAAGTTGTTAGCATGCTACTTGTTTTCAGCCTTACCATGAAGCCAAAACTGAAGTTGTGAGAAAAGTGTTGAAATATTTGGATGCTATTCAATGCAAATTTGTGTATAGACCTAAATCACAACAGCTGTCATCTTGGAGGACATTTTAAGTCCGAACACAGGAAATGTAACCATAACAAACACATTTGAGCCATAGGTCCTCACGGAGCAGGAGCAATGTCAATGAATGTTAATAAATGTTCTTAAATGTCCCGCAATAAAAGTGATTGAAAGTGAAGAATATGATCATATCATCAAAGAACCCAAACCAGCAGAAGATCTATTTAATCTTTCTTTGAAGACATACTGTGCGCGACTCCTCACAAACTCTTGAATATGAAATACAAATCTGATCCAAAACAAAAGTTTATGTGTCATAAACACATAAACATAAACTTTTCCTACTTCTCAATGACTTCTCTTGGCTTAATCTACAAAAAAACTCAAGAAAAGTTGTCATGACAGTTCAGTGGAAGCAGACTTGTAATGACATGGAACAAATAATCAATAGACTCAAAATTTGATTCAGAGAGAACTTATTTTCTGCTGAGACAATCCATCCCACCTCACAGACAGATCAAATGACGGGTTTGAAAGCATGACTACTGTACAGTTCTGGCTGTTCAGGCCATGTTGGTCCACTCCTTCTCCATGATATATATATATATATATCATCCGGGAAAAGGAACATGAAAAGCTTGAGAAATACCAAGGTCTCAGAGAGGGCCTGGAGGGTAAAGGTGACAGTAGTGCCCGTGGTGATCGGTGCACTCGGGACAGTGACCCCGAAGCTAGAAGAGAGGTTACGGCGGATCCCTGGAACAACCTCGGACATCTCGGTCCAGAAATGTGCAGTGCTAGGAACAGCAAAGATACTGCGCAGAACCCTCAAGCTCCCAGGCCTCTGGTAGAGGACCCGAGCTTAGAGAGGAAAAACTGCCCACGGAGGGCCAAAGGTGAGATTTTGTTTTTTATATATAAATATATTTGTATGTGTATTTATATACTGTAAGCGCCGTAGGCAACAAAACAATGTACAAAATTATTTCCATGAACTCAGAAATGTATGTTATAAATACTTATGAATGTATAATTTCTGCTAGAACTAATACATACTTTCTAAAACTCTAAAAACTAAACCGAATGCATAAAAAAGAGACTCCATTCCCAGTAAGAATAATCATTTTATCTACAATTTTTAGTAATGAAATCAAAGAAGGAACAAACAGCTTCTGTAGCAGGCGGTGCTCTCTCAACCAGAAAAGTGACACAGGGCACCTTTAATCCATTCTTTTTGCAGTGTGGCAGTCAAATAAAGGAGAGCACACAAAGACACAGACAGAAAACAAAAGGTGCATTTGTCAGCAGTCATTTGTAACACGTCATGGCTCTGGGAAAGTGGCCCCGACTCTCTGTTTGGGCAAAAATCAAACTCTAATCTCTGAGCTTTTGATTGATGTTGGGTTTTATTTTGGGTGTTTATGGAAATGTCGAACAGTCCTGTGTGGTCCTGGTCTAATGAAACACACTCCAAACAATCAGACGAGTCCAGTGCGGTTTGGAGAGGCGCTGGGGGACAAGGAGGAAGAAAAGTTCTAATGATAATCTCTCCCTCTGGGTTTGCAACAGCGACATAGACCAATAGAATTTACCAGTGATAATACTAGACATGAGTTTAGCCTGTATTATTTGTACCTTTTGCTTTGAATTTGGGGATATAGTTTTTGACTTTGAAATCTTGGGAAAAGGAGCAGGGGCATTAAGCTTCAGCAATACAATTCAGTTTTATTTTAGTAGCATAAAAGACAACAATGATTTGAATATTACTTTTATAGTTTAAAAAGAAATACTTAATTAACCTGGAATGAAATTCACTTTTGCAGCAGCTACAAATCTTAATCTTTGGCCTGTACAATGTACTATAGCTGCTTTACAGTTTCACCTGTGGGTCATCAGTATGGTTATGTTTTGATTTTAACAATTTCAATTTAAATGCTGATGTAGGATAATCCCACAGATTTTCATAATGATTTGTGGATTTGCATAAATGTCATGAAGTCAATTTCAAATGTGTTGTTGATCTACAGCTCACAGCAGCAGGTCCTGGGAGCAAGAAGAAGATTATTTTTGTATTCATACTGAAATGTCTGCATGATGCTGAATCATCCCTGTGCCACAGACAAAGAAACAGAATAAAGCAAAGAATACAAGTTGAGTTTATTTATTCATCTTTGTTTGAATAAGAGATATCCCACTGTGATTATAAAAAGTCCTGGTCAAGAGGCAGCATAGATACACATTGAATAGAAATACGGCGGCACGGTGGCTGAGTGGATAGCACTCTCGCCTCTCAGCAAGAAGGTCCTGGGTTCGAATCCCGTTTGGACCATTGCCTTTCTGAGTGGAGTTTGCATGTTCTCCCCGTGTCTGCGTAGGTTTCCTCCGGGTGCTCCGGTTTCCCCTACCACTAAAAATATGTACAATAGGTCTGGCATCTGCCTCCTGTACTGGCGACCCTGCTCCCAAAAACAACAATTGTAAACCGCTTTGAGACTCTGATGTGCAGTGAAAAGGCGGTATATAAATAAAGATTACTTACTTACTAAATACATGTCCATTTACATTATAAATTAACACATTGAAGATGCACATAACTCATAACATAACATAAGATGCATAAGTCTCTTTATTGCTGCACCCTCGCCCGCCTGAGAGCCGCCTCAGTCCTGCATCGCTTGGCCTTGGCTCTTGTTCTACGACCTGAGTTCTGGATCTATGGCCCGTCCGTCCGTGGGTTCAAAAACCCTCCCTCAATGTGGACCTCCCTGAGGTTTTTAGAGTTTTTTTCCAATGCTGATTATCCAAGACACTTGGTATTCAACAAAACTTATAGATATTATTTAACATTTATGGACATTGGTCATCTGGCCCGTATGGATCAATAGCTCTCTGTGTTTCTTATTATTTTTTTGTCCTCCGAGATAACTACTGTTGTGATTTAGGGCTATACAAAAATATATTGAGTTGAATAGAATTGCCGGTTCTACTCACACAGAACGATGTAGACAAAGGCTTTCTCCTCAGCCCTGTGTGATAATGTAACGTGGAGCAGAAGCTGATGAAGTAAATGAGAAGTGAAAACTACATTCTGCATGACACGTATGTTCAGCTCTTGATGCCTCTGAACCTCGGTGTCTATGGTGGGAACACGGCCCCTCCGGGAGCAGGACGTCCTCTCGGCCTGAGCACATCCCAGCTGTGTTGGTGCTGTCAGGCCCATGCGGCTGCGCTCCATCTCCCTCAGTCCACATGAGAAGGTCCCATGGCGCTCAGAGGGATAATCCTCCTCCCCTCCTCCAGACCTGGTCCAGCAGCAAGTGTTCAGGGGACACTCAGGGGTTGCACATTTGATCTCCACACCAGGACTAATTAATGTGTCCTGATGTATTATTTTAATTGACACGGCTTAAGGAGACGGGAGCCACAGTTTGTCAATTGCTTTAGTCACAGCTCAGCTTAGCAGTGTCCGGGACAGGGCCGGTCACATGACGCTGCTGGTAATGTATTATAGTAAAGGAAAACTTTATCGTTCACCCATGTGACAGAACGGGCCTTGGGTTTAAGCTTAAGACAAGTCACAAAAACACCATGTTCAGAATGTGTCATAAGACCGATGAGAGAGAGGTCTTAATGTGTATGTATGAGAACATGTATTTGTCTGACAGTGGGACATTTCACTGTTGCAACACGCAGAACAAAAGTATTATTCAATAACAACTCAAAAACAAGACAACAAAATGTATATTATTATTATCACATGTTTCAAATATGAAAAAAAAATCCGCCATCCGTTTATGTTCATCGACCCAGACTTCTCTCTCCCTCCTGATCTTCCAGCCAGTGTCTTCTTAGCTCTTCCACTGAGAGACCCTCACTATCTCCAGAGGAACCCTCAGAGCAGCTACTTCACCACAAGAGTCTCATACAGCGACCGCATCACTGCAGACATCGCACCCATCCGTCTGTGACAAGAACTCAGACACTTCATTAACCTCTTCACCACCTGCAGACGACAAGGGTTTCCAGTCCAGGAGGTGCTTATTTTCATATGCTTATAGAGCATTCTCTTTCAGGCCTAATGATCGTGGTTTCAATCCCTCCACAAGACCTACTCCATCTGCGCCCACTGAAGTCTGCTGTTGTTGTGTCCCTGCAAGACACTTAACCCCACTTTGCCTGAAGCCCAAAGGGTGTGTCATCTCAGCCATCATCCAGTGGACCTACCACCTGCAAGATCAGTGAGGACTGGGGCTTTGAGCCTTGGGGGGCAGCTCCCCCCACCCTCCAACCCAGAAATTGCTGAATAAAGGGGCAGAGAATGAATGAATGAATGAATGAATATCTTCATCTCAGCCTCTGCAACAAAACTTTAGGGAAGGTTTCTTGAACTCGCCACCAAAAGCAGAGCTGAAATCCTAGGTCCCCAGACTGGACTGTGTCTACTAGTTTCAATAATAAGTCAGAGTACAATTTGTAAGAACTTCAATATTCTCTGGGTATATCACGAAGATCTTGAAACAAGTATTGCACTAGTGAAGACAACAAATGGGCTTTAGAGTCACAGCTGACTGTGAGCGCTCTGAGGGTAAGTGAACAACTAGTGACACCTGTTGGTGTAACATGGCTGTGCTCTGGTCATGGCCACGGAGACTGCAGTGTGGGGGAAATATCAGTCTATATCTTTTCTTAAAAAACATTGATCTATATTAATATAAACAGTCTCTCCTGTTGCTTCAGTATTTGTGAACCACTTTGCAATATCACTTCTAACCACTTTCTTCTGTCTGACCTGGATGTGGTTTTCCCTGACAGAGAAATACAGTTTGTATTTTGCTTGTGCCTCTTGTGCCCCAGGCCAGAGTGGAGGAGCACAGGTGCACAAACTGGAGGTGAAATAAAGCACTCTTAAAGCCGCACACCTGTGTCCCCCTCACACGTCGCTTCAGGCTGATTCCTGAGGACCAGATGAAATATGTCAGCGCTGATCCGATCACACACATGGACATGGGGGCTGTTTAGACAAGAGCGATCTGCCTCTCACTGCCACAATGACAAGAGATCGTCTGCTGCTTTTCCTCTAAACAAGAACAAACCTGCTCAACCAAAGCAAGACCTTTTCAGTTTGTGTTTCTTTTTTCCTTTTCATTCAGAATCTCTGCACCAAACCTGCATATGATACATGACACTGGTGTTATGATGCGACAGCAACAGCGTAAACAAGAACATTGGACTCTAGAAAAAAGAAACACAAAGAGCTCAAGAGAAGCTGTGGTCCAGTGTTAGTATTAGATAACAAAGTAGAATGGCTAAATTTGCTTTGTTCACATTCATAGACCGTAAAACAAGTGAATAGTGTTTGCTGAATGCGGAAGAAGCCGTCTTTGCTTCTTCGGTCGTTGGCACGTTTGGAGCCAAGTTTCTGATATGAGCGTTTGTTGTGACAGGAGCAACTCACCACAACCAGGGCAGATATAAAAAGTACCTATTTATCTAGGTTGCTAAGATGGTTTCTAGAGCAAGCTGTAGTCTCCCCTGCAAATCAAAGCATCGGTTTGGTCAATCTCTATGGCCGAAAAATCTGGATTTACGAAGACATCAAAATAACACCCCAGGATCATAGAGAGCGCCAAACCAAGTGAATTGGAGCAAAACTTTGTCCATTCAGCACATCCCATGGACGGAGTTTGGTTTCTTTGAGCTTGAGAGTTCACATTGTCCTTTACAGTATATGATCACAATCTGTTAGTATTTCTAATTGTAATTTACTGCCCAAGAAAAATATCAGACATCTTAGAGGGGCCTTACTATGCACATTTTAGAGGCACTGAATAAGGTTATTATTGAAATGTCTGTCAGTGTGGACTTTATGTGTTTTCACCTGGATTTATTTTGATTAGGGCTGTCAAAATTATCGCGTTACTCACGTTAATTACATTTTTCATTAACGCGTTAAAAAAAAGGTAGGCCCTCTGGGGATTCATGTTTTAAAAGAATACGCGCGCCACCGCGGGGCTGTTGTTTGCTGTGAACTGAAGTCCGCCTCTTCCGTGGCCGCTCTGACTGTGAGCCGCTCACAACAACACGGCTGTGAGCGGCTGTGAGTGAGTGGCGCCGCGGTAACATGGTCATAAGACCAAACACGCCACAGAACTATTGTCTGCATGTTGTGTTCGTGTCTTTGCAACCTGTGCGTAACCTGTGCGTAACCTGTGCGCGCAAATACAGCGCAGGAGTGTCCCTTTCTCCTCCTGAAACTAAACTAAACTGAAACGCTGAATTAAAGCTGGGGTATGTAAATTTCCCCCTTTCATTAACAGCTCATGTTGGTTTTGCCCAAAAGCAAACAGATTTAAGTACATTTGGTATGAATGACAATGTGTCAATTGCTGTATCTGTTCGCTTGTTTTACTTCCTGTCTGTCGTGTTGATTGATTGCCCCACCGTCTAGTGTTACACCTGTGCCTCCCCATGTGTCTTTAGACCCTGTGCTCCTGTCTTCTTGCTGCCAGATCTTTTTTTTCCCTCCATTTCTAGTCCCTGGTTTCAGTTTTAACTTTTGGATTTTTTTTTCCTGGTGGCATTTCTTAAAGTATATTGTTTCAGTTGTGCTGTTACAGTAGGTCCTTCCTTGTTTTTTGTTGAGCAGGGCTGACTAGAGATTCATCCAATCAGAAAGATCCAATGTGCTTTGCCCTTATGTGCTATATCTTCCCAAATTGTCGTTGTGAAATAATTGCTCTCTACTGTTCCTAACTATTAGTCAACATGGTGCAAAGACATGGCTGAGGCTGAGACATGGCTGGTGCACACTGGGGTACCCTTGCACAGTTATTCCAATGTGGTTTTACAGCAAATGGCAAATAAACTGAATCTGAAACCTGTTACCACACGACAAAGAGGATTCGATACCTGGTTAGTTTGCCCTGATGAAGGCCACATTGTCATTTTGAAGGCTTTTAATAATTCACCTTTTTTAGTTCCTCAGACCTGTCAATTTGCATTCTGATCCTTGCAGTGAAGAGAACCTCGAAGACACATCCAATTTTCTCTCCTCTCTGCTTTAGGTTTCATTCTTATATAATATTTAATCATCTGGTCTGTGCTATCTTCTCTGTCTGGATCAAACTGGGGTAGTCTTGCACAGTTTTTCCAATGTGGTTTTACTGCAAATGGCAAATACATTCTTGAGTCTTGAATCTTTTTGGCTTCAATAAATGCATGACAATTGTTTTCTATTGAACTAGTATATTTAATCTGGATGTCTTTCCTGATTTTCATTTCTAACTGGACTCTCAAACGACGCCCTGTTCTGCAGCCAGGCCGAACCATGCAGCTCTGTTTTTTCTCCTAGTTTCATCTGATTAACACTTCTGTTGACTTTGGACTTTGGAAAAACGGGGCGGACTCTTGTATATCTTCACGCACCATTAAATTTACTACATTGAGGCTTACAGGCCTTTTGGGATGGCCTAGATAAGTGTCCCTTTATCATTCTTGACATTTTTACATTCAAGTCTGACCAGCCCTCCTGCAGGTAAATGATGTCTTTCACAAATCTACTCAGTTAAGATTCCTTCCTCTCTTCAACGTGAAAACAAACACGCAAAACGCCACACATTCAACTTATCTATAATCTTATAAAACATGTCTGGTTCTGGCGTGAGGAGAAATTCATAAATATAACGGGCAAAAATATAAGTTTGCCCCTTTTCTAGTCCTCCAGGGGATTAAATGTTTCCAAAAGCTCTTCAGTCTGTCACATAAGAGGTATAGAGGTCTTTAAACCTTTCGTTAGCAGAGGGACCATGTGTTATTTACCGACAGCGACTCTGGGCACCTCGCTCTCTGGGTAAACAACTCATTTGTTCGGGCTCAAATAAAGTTTGATGAGGAGATAATTCTGTGAGCGGGCGACATAAAGCGCTCTCTCATGGCTCTGGGGATGTGACAGAGAGACAAGCAGCAGCATCTAAGCGTGGAGCAGTATTTATGTGTACAGTGTGATGGGTTTTACTGTGTCAAAAAAGTGACAAAATATAAAGCAATAAATGCTTGAATAAAGTCTTTTTTTTTCTTAATTTGCGTATATTTTGACTTTCTTAAAACACGATTTGCCGATGGAACAAGCCATTTAGTCTCATTTCAAGTGCTGTTGCAATTTATGTCTCATTCCAAGGAAGACATTTCTTGAATTTAATTATATAATTTTTGCAGTGATGATGGGTCTGGGGAAATAGACAGATTTCAGTTTTGAAGAAAAAGTGTGGTACCCCAAAATTTCTGCTGTTTTAAATGTATTGATTTAATTTAAACCACAAAATGTTAACTAAGTTTAAGATCCCTGGCTCAAAACAAGTTGGTTCTCTCACTATCCTGAGAGATAGTGAGAGAACCACTATCTCTGAGGCGGCACGGTGGCTGAGTGGATAGCACTCTCGCCTCTCAGCAAGAAGGTCCTGGGTTCGAATCCCGGTCGGACCAGGGCCTTTCTGAGTGGAGTTTGCATGTTCTCCCCGTGTCTGCGTAGGTTTCCTCCGGGTACTCCGGTTTCCCCTACCACTAAAAATATGTACAATAGTTCTAGCATGTGCCTCCTGTACTGACCCTGCTCCCATCTCTGTGTGGAGTGAGAGACAAATGCCCAAAATTGACAATTGTAAACCGCTTTGAGACTCAGATCTGCAGTGAAAAGGCGGTATATAAATAAAAACTTACTTACTTACTATCCTGGCCTGAAGACCAGGATAGTTCTATCAGGAGTTTTTTCTCTGTCTCACAACTTTATAACAGCCCTCACTCAATGTGTTCTAAGAAGAGGAAGACAGCATGTTCTGATCTGATTTGTTCACAAAATGTTCTGTAAACAAGATTATTTCTGTTAAGACAAACAACATGTATTTATGAAACAACTAAATATGTAAGGGAAATGTGGGGAAACATTTGTGGGAAGCCATGTCGCTGGATTTAGGAGCTCATGTTCTGCTGCTTGGCGACTAAAGGGTTAAGAAGGTTGAGGTTTTCTTGGATAAATATACATTGAGAACGCTTTAGCTTTTCCATTTCCGATACTGATCAATACTTTAGATTTCAAAATGTTTAGATACCCAAAACATTGCAGTATTACCAACAAGTAAGTAATCATTTTTTATACAGAACATTTTAAATAATCTTTAGAATTATTTAATGCTAATCCAGATATAAACAGATACCACTGAAAAGGCTGAAAAAAGCTATTCATTTCTCTCACATCACAGCTCACTGATAACAAAGTGCCTGATAGTGATTTTAACTATTCATTGTCCTGCAAGTAAATGTAAAACTAAGACATCCTGCCTCTTGACATATCTATGGAAAGGACCAATCAGAAAACCAGCCTACCATTTAACCATCCAAAACATTTACTTGGAATGGTGCAGTTATTCTATTCCAATATCAGAATTGTCTTCTTATCACTCCATTTCCAGCTGATGTAAATAAAGTTGTTAATATATAGACACATGGTGAAACTTAAATGTTGCTTATATGTATTTATTGATGCATGTGGATACTGTACAGTCGGCCAAAGTGTGATTGTTACCATTTCTGCTCAAATGAATGAACATACAAAAACAAAAACAAACAGTTTATTAGTTAAATGATCACAGACCCATGGATCCTAATAATTAAATTTATTTACTTTTCATCATTTGCAAGTGAGCAGACTGATCCAGGACACTGACTTTATCCTGTCTATCGGGAATCATTTCATCATTTTTATCGTCCAAAATAAAGCGGAAAAATTATTCACAGCTCATATTTTGGCGGCACAACTACTTCTTTTTGAGGAGATTAGAGAGCAATAATTCAAACAGACCGGAGTTAGCTTGTAAAACCACAATTTAGTGTTGAATAAGCGCGTTTTGGATGGTAATTTAGGCACGTTTTAAGTTGTCCAAAATAATCAAGGCTAATTCAAAAATCACAGTGGGTGTTGAGTTCTTAAATGTCTCTGGGGAACAGTAGTAAC